GGTTTTTGTTATCAGAGCTAAATATTGCGACAGAGCTTTCGGCCATAAGCTCTAGCTCTCGAGATCTCTCTCACAATCACGTTCGAAAACGTGAAGCGTAAAAATACTTAATTGTTGCCATGACTAGCATTAGTACGCGTTGCGTACTCACTCGTTGCTTGGCACGTTTATATTTATTTTTTATTTTTTACTATGTTCACATAACCAGCTCTAAAAGAAAAAAATGTCGGGAACGACAATGGTACGGAGACTAGGACAAATGTGACAACTGCTTGCAGCGCATCTTTCTTCTGTTGCAACCCAGTGCCTGCGTGCACGGTACGGGATTTGCGATTGCCACATCAGCTTGTGTGTGCCGTTGTGGTTCGTTGTTCTTTATTCCTTATTCTTTATTCTCACGATGGCACCATCGCCAATAAGAGATAAATTTATGAGAAAGTAAGAAGCTGTGGGTGGAGCTGTGGGTTATGCAGTTGGAAAGTGATTTTGTTGTTTTGTTCTTTGTTGAATTGAGTGTGAAGAAGGGCTGAGGCTTCCTGCAGCTTCATCCTTCTGCTGCTTCTTCTCCGTGTCCCCCCCCCCCCCTCCCCATACTAGGTGACATAGTTCGCATCTTTTTTTTGGCGCTACACTCTGCGTATAATATATACTGCTCTTGTGTGGCTTCCACGGTATTCATTGTTATTACCTGACGATGGCCAAGTGCCGAAACGTTTAAAAAATAACGGAACTGGTTCGGATGTGATGTGCAGCGCTATGGGAATGGGTGTGTCCACCCGAATTCCTTTCATTGAATTCAGTGGTCGTTAAAAGCTGAGAAAGAACGGGTTGTTGACAGGGCGCGGTTTTGATGTGCATGCCCTCTGTCATTCCAACTAACGGTTATAAGCAAAATACTAGACGTGATGCAGCTAAGCATCAGGTCGTTGAATGTCAGGATCTCATCAGTCGGTTTTTGTGCTAAGTGTTGCACATTTTTGACTCAACAGTATTCTGCTTATAACCGTTAGTGTTGGACAAAACGGATAACTTGTAAACGTATCTCGGATGGTGAGCCAATTAAATTATGGTCAGAAAGGGGACAAAATGATACGAATGTCTCAGTACTCCTTTGTCAGTTTTGTTCCATTTTGTCACACTCGCTGGCTGTATAAGATCTGGTTACATTGGTGGACAGTTAGTCATAACTCGTAACATTTTGTCCTCCTTTTTCACCATAATTGTAAATTTATGGTCCTCTTTTTTAATTTTAATCCTTGGCTCTCCATCCGAGTTAGCTAAAGATACTACAATATTCATGAATGCACACACCGCGCAAAAGAACTAACTCTACTACCACAATAAAACAAATTGAAGACAAAACTAGAGAGCTTGGAAGCTCAGGGCCCTACGCTATGCTTTTTTGCCTAGCTCATCATGCATGTTATTAGAACTGATGGAACTTTCTCTTTGGCCCCAACTTCGTTGCGGTCTTATAGTGTTTTACGTCGACCATGACGGCTACAATTCCCAACCAAACCACAACGAACTGATCGGCTATATCATTGTATTGCAAAAAGTATCCATCTGTTCGAATAACATGCGTGATGAGCTAGGCAACAAAGCATAGCGTAGGGCCCTGAGCGAAAGAAATATGAGCCGTCAGATGCAAAAAGGTACCTTATGACGTTTTGCTCGCAGTTGAGAAAATCGCGTTCGAAAAAGTATTTTCTGTGAATATGTGATCGATAGTCCGGATAGTTTCCAGGGTAACTCGGTGATGAATTGAGATTTTTGGACCTGGTTTTTTGCACGACACTCTCCTGACCAGGTTGTATCTGAAACAATCGTTAACTCAATTTGGCCAAAAATGTCATAAGGTACCTTTTTGCATCTGACGGCTCATATATTTTCTCTTTGCATTCGAGGGTAATACAATACCGTCTACCACCTTGATGACCTAGGCAAAAAAAGCATAGAGATGTTATAAATTTTTCATTTCTCCTACTTCCTCCGCGTCATTAAAATTGTCGCTTCGCACATCGCAATATTTGTGACTTGGCTCGTCTTAGTCAGACTGTCTGAATCGCTGTTTTCGAACACTGATACGACCCTTCCTGCGCAATGTCTACTTGTCACTGAAGCCGTGGTGGTCTCGGACTTTGTCGAAGCTCTCTTCCGCACCAAGCAAATTCATCGTGCTCCGCAATATTCCGCCCCAGAGCGCATATCGTTTTCTGGAGTTCGTGCCATCCCACATCGTTCGCATGGGCATTTATCAAGACTGCAAGCTCGGGTAGAAGAATCCTGGTATCTCTCCTGAATACGCAATGCTGAAGTTGACGATGGCAAGAACAAAGTGGTCTCAAATTCCTTAAATGTGCTACTGGTGGGGCATGTTGCTGCGAAGGTAGCAGGTCTGAAACACCAACAAAATTAGCGAAGCGTATGCCAAGGAAAGAAGGTGCAGAACTGCTTACCCTATCCCGCTGGAAGGTAGTTACAGTGTACTTGAAAAATGCTAGCTTGCCTTCATCGCCTGCCACTTGGAGGCGTGGATCGCTTGAAAACAAAGTTTCTTGGCCTGAATTTGAACGCGCATCTTGTTCAGCGTATTGTTGAGTGCTGAAGGGTCTGCCTCAAACTCTGATGAAGATGTCGACCTTAGCTGCAAGTGCAGCGAAGCAGTGGGCCAAAAACTAAAGCTTGGTCCGTCGACAATGCTCTGCCTCAATTTCTAGCTGATTTCTTAGCCCTTCGAGTGGACAAAATAAATTCGAAAAATTGCTCTGGGAAGCGATAATTTTAATGACGCGGAGGAAGTATGTCATTTCAAGACATAACCTGGGATTCGAACCCACACTATCGCCCTGCATGCATTCCTCCCATACACTTCGCATACATACTCATTCTTCTAAGTTGCTTCACGTTATGATCTTACATTTGACAGTCCTATTTGAATACATCTATTGTGGCCAGCTGTCTTTGATGGTACGGTACGGGACAGGTATGGGATAGTGCAAGGCATGCCGATGTCACAAACAAACAAACACGGAATTAAAGCTGCGTGGACCCTGGCTAGCGCCAGACGTTACTGAAGTAATGTATTTTGCATAGCTATGGGAATAAAGCTATGAATAATAATAACTGTGCATGTCGTCGTTGTCATCGCATCGACAAGAGTTTTTTTTGTCTTTTATAAGGTTTTATTATTGCTATTGATGTAGCTCTGAGCTACTGATTAGAGCAGGAAAAAACTGGTCTCTACTCTAAGAAGAGACATGAAGAAGACTAGCGAAAAGCTGCTTGTAGAGCAACAAAATATAAAGTCGGCAAGTTCTTGCTGGGAACGGCGCTACATTCGGATCACTGGATCCATACTAGGCTCAAGCGATTCCTCAGGGGTCAGCGCGAAGGCAGAAATAGGCATGCGGGTACAGCCAGAAATGGACGTGTGTACACATAGGAGAGCAAGGGAAGCGCAACGCGAGCTGTAGCCGCCAGAAACGGATACATGCGCAGAAAGGGGAGCACACCGCGACATGCACGGCAGCCAGAAACGGATACATGCGCAGAAAGAGAGCACACCGCGACATGCATGGCAGCCAGAAATGGATACATGCGCAGAAAGGGGAGCACACCGCGACATGCACGGCAGCCAGAAGCGGATACATGCATACAACAGAGAGCAAGTAGAGCACACTGCTAGCTGCAGGACAGCCAGACATGGCTTGGTGCATACAAAAGGGAATCGCTTGGTGCCAAAAAAGGGGGCACATAAATGATCACGACTGATGTTCGTGACAGTGCACTCATTACTTCCGACACACACGGCAAGGTAGGTCTAGAGGTTTCCAAGAATGCCACCTTGCCCTGTCTTGTGTGTCAGAGTAACAAGTGTGAAGTTAGTATTAATCTATTAGTGCTGACACCTTTTCCTTCGAAATTGGATTGGCCTCCAATTTTTTCCTTAGTATTGATCATTGATCATACCTTCTTTTTTTTAAATTGTTATCTCCATGTTGATTATTACAAGAGAGAATGTTATAATATCTCTCACAATATGTAAACGGCCATCCCTGGTTAGTTAATGAAGTACGCCATGGGCGTTTGTGCTTGCGCTGTGTTTAGCATCTCCTCTTGTCTCACCTTCTATCTCCTCTGTCTTTCTTAGCTTTTTGATTCTCTCCCCTTGCTAATGCTTTTCCCACTTTTTTGAGAAAGCAAAACACCCTTGCAATCGAGCACTATGATGGAGGTAGAATTGATCGAAATTTGTAGTTTCAGATTGCTAAAGAAGTATCTGAGTAAGAAAGTTGGCAAATTCAGTCTTTGTAATGATTAGAACTTTTACCCCAGAAGTGAACAATTGATCTGTGAGCTGCTGGGAGTGCTTGATGTCATAGATAGAGCTTAGAATATAGCAGCAGACACAGCAGAGGATGATGTCATAGATAGAACTTAGAACATATTATTATTATCTTCATTCTCACGATGGCCGTAGCCAATAAGAGAGAGACAGTACTATGTGTTATCAACCAGAGTGGATGCAATAAACCGGGAGAAACAGTGGCTAGTGGCAGCCGTGGTTTGGGTGCTTCTTTTAAGTAAAGACGAGGAAAGAAGTATATCCCTTGCGAAGGCAGCACACATAGCAGCAGACACAGCAGAGGATGATGTCATAGATAGAGCTAAGAACATAGCAGCAGACACAGCAGAGGATGATGTCATAGATAGAGCTTAGAACATAGTAGACGCAGCATAGGATGTTCAGGTTGAGGTTTGTTGTAAATCCGAGCTTCGCGCACATTTGTAAACGACTTGCAGTCTATTCCCTTGGTAACTCTATGCAAACAAAGAAAACATTATTCTCCCTTCATATCATCTGATGAGAGTATCACGATGAAAATTACTGATGTCAACAAAGTGACAATCAACCCACTGCCTATTGAGCAAGCTATTTCCAATCAACATTACATAGCTAACAGTCCAACCATTGCCTTCTGATTTTTTTGCTCCAGGAGTGTTGTACGTTACTTTGCATCTTGGCAATTTTGGCGCTGGCAATGGTAGATTTTTCAAAACCACAACCATTTCAACAATTTCAATTACCAATATTTGCACGATTTACAGATAAATGCAATTGTGCAACTTCCCGTAAGTAACCTAAAGTGCAAGACAACAAACTAGACAACCCACAGCCTCACCCACAGGATCTCACCTTCTCCTAAACTTATCTCTTATTGGCCATGGTGCCATCGTGAGAAAAAATAATTCAAAAACAAAGTGTTATTCAATTATGCTATGAGATGACTTACACAGCAAAAGCAACAATTTTCAAGCAAAGGCAAGAAGAAGGACAGTTGCAAATTGGTTTGAATGAAATTGGTTCGAATGGATGTCATGGCGAAGTCCGAAGCGTTCATCACCCTAAAAGATCATAAGAAAAGATTCGCAAAAGACCTTCCATGCCGCTTGATCAACCTAGCCAAGCCAGAAATGGGAAGAATCAGCAAGGCAATTCTGGAGCGTGTGACGAAGGATGAGCAGTCTGCAACACAATTCTGTCCAGTATGGATTTACTCACGACTCCCAAGTTCAGACTTTGCGGGGTTGATATGCCTGCATGGGAGGTTGTTGGCGAAGCGATCCTTGTGTTCCTTCAAACTCACAAATGCCTCTGACTTTGCCATTGCGTCGACCCGGTCGCTGATATTCAGCCGCTCCGCGAACTGCGGTGCTTCTTGATTAATGCCGGTGTATGTTGTGTCCAGTGCTTGTCTATAATTGGCCGGGACGTTGTCTCTCAGCAGTTTCTCGTAGTGGCGCTTGCTTACTTTGTATAAGTTTTTTTTGCTTTGTCGGCTTTCACTATAATGTCATCCGTGTCTGTTAGCGATTTGACGTCCTCCCTCATTTGCCGCTGGAATGGGTCCGACACATTTCTGAATTCCAGGTCCGCTACCAAGTTCAAAAGTTCGTCTTCAAATGCCTTTAGCTGCGGCACTAGCGGTGGCGTCTTCTGGCTTGGGAAACCATATGTCTCAGTCTCCTGCACTCTGGTCTCGCCGTTGAGAAAGAAGAACGCCTTCCACCTCATCCGGCGTATTACACTCTCCACTCATGGCCAGCAATCGAGGACATCTGAGAGTTGTAATTTTTGTACTCCTCCGAGGTGTGATTTTTGGCGTGCTGGGCCAAGCACAAGGAAGCCATCTGCAAAAAAACTGCAGAAAATGGTTGTTGTTTGATCCTTTGGTGTAACCTTTGTTTCTAGTCGAAGCTAGTTGCTGTTTGGAGCAGAAACGCTGAAATTGACTATTTTCTGCATGTACTCATACATGTACTCATGTACTCAGGCATGCAGTCTCACTCGTATTTTAGCTCTTTTTTCTGGAATGGATGCTGCTCTGCGCCCCTTGATGAACATTTCCTGCGCTCGTGGAGCAGCTGAAAAGGACCATTTGTATGTCTGGTTCCTGGTTTGAAAGTGGAGAGTCGACTTTTGTGCCTTGGAAAAGGAGTAGAGAGCGATAAAGGTACGTCTGTGGCTTATTTTTGAGTGCTCCTCGTACATTTTTGATCGTGATAGAAATTCTCAGACCAAAGTCAGACCAAAGTCAGCGCGATGATGGCCGTAGAGTTTTCTTGTGGATTTTTTAGTTGTTTCATCTCGTATCTATGTCAGTATCGTGATGGTGAAGTGGAGAGGGTGATTTTCTTCCTCTAGGCTTCGTTCGGCCGACTTTGGTTCATCCTCGTTGAAAAGTGATCCTGAAAAAAAAGTCGATTCGCAAAATTATGTTGATTTTGAATGTACGTGATGACATGCGATTGCTGGCTATGTTCTGCACCAGACGCTTTCGGTAGGAGTCTGCTGATGGGATGGGTATATTCTCGAGGGAATACCCGAGGTCCGCCCGTCTTGATGGGTCCATAGCTGCGGTACCTGAGAAAGAGTGCTCAATCTATAAAAGAGTGCCTTCACACAGGGGGAAGTGGTCTCGTCCACCACAAAAAGGGCTCAACAGCACTGGGGTGCACTGGAGCTAGTACACAATGGAAGCGGTCCTCACCAATAAAACACAATCCGTTGCTCCTCCGAGTTTCTTGAGTTTTTCAATCGTCAGGCAACTTTTTCTAACTAAAGCAGGGCTGTCAGGTCCACTAAAGATATACACAACCACACAGCAGGTGCACAAAAAGAAAGCGTGAAGCTTGAAGAGTGAAGAGATGCTGCTAGGTGGAGACAATGTAAAAATTTAATATTGATATCAATTGTTCATTATTGTAACAAGCGCTGAATTCGAAGAAAGAAAAATTCGAGGGGTTCGCATACCGGGCAGGTCAAGAACAAAGAGTGGTACAACTCCCTCGTCAAGAACCAACTTTCGGCTTCCGTGGGACGCCACCACCCCATGATCAACAAGCGCTGAACGGAACGCGTAAATCTGGAGTTCACTAGCACATGCCTGGCGTCAGGGGATGCAAGTCCCCCATTGCTGTGCGATATTTCCGTTAACCCTTGACACAACAATAATGGTGCAGTATGTCTGGTTCCATTGGTCATCAGGTTGCTCTGTCCATGTCCGGTTTTACGTTATTCCGTTATAATTAGCGAGCCAGTGATTGTTTGCATGGCGACATTTGGCGATGATTTCGCTTCGCTTGTTGAGGATTTTGGTCTTGTCAGCAGTGAGTATACCCACCTTCTCCGTGGTGCAAAGGCAACATCTCTTCGTTGCGGGGTTGTAGGAGCTGGCCTTGTCCTTGATCCTCCAGGACAGGTGATACTCTTTGTTGTCAGTTTTCTTTTGCCAGAGGTGTGTGGAGAGCTCCGTGTTGGTGCGGTATTGGTGCAGATTGTACAGCACATTCTCAGTCTGATGGAAAGCAGCAGCGAGCGTCTCCAGTATGTTGACTCTGACCTCTATGGTTTGCAGAAACTAGACCCACAATGTGCATTGACCTGTGTGGATTTGACACCATACCGACTCGGCCTAAAGCGTAAACGTGCATATGCGTTCGCGACGAATGAACCAGATGCTGATGATCGGGTGGCACCGGATTTTAACCCACAATTCCAACCCAAACAGGCTCCCTCAGTTGAGCTCATTACCAGCGAGGGTTTCTCTAACACGGTTCTGGAAAATGCAGTTCGTACAGCAGCAGGAGGATTCCAGTTCAAAATGAGACCTTTTCTGCCCTTTTTCAACCAAGACGATGCTTGGCTACTTCCGAACACACAGGTGAAGCTTCGTTTTGATCTACCACAATCTGAACTTTCCAGGTACATCATGATCAGTGACGGAGGTGGCAGTGCCAATAATGCGGGAAGTGTGGGTGACGTTAACATTGATCTGCTCCAATTGGACTTAGTGTTTGTTACGTACCGAATGGAACCCAGCCTTACGATCGAGTTTGTCTGCCCAAACAACTCTACTTCCACACATGGTGCCCCCATCTCATACAAAAGAGCATAGCCGATGATGCCGGCACGTTCGAACTGTTGCACAATGCCGACATTCCTCGCAGAATGATCCTGCTCTTCACAGATTTTAGACACAGTGCACAGGCTGCTTTTGGTGGGAATCAAGGAGCACATTCTTCCAACAGGTTGGCCATGGGCCATGCAAATCTAAGTCAACTCCGCATTACCGTGAACAACGAGACACTGTTTGTCCTCTCAAATTCCAGGGGATGTGAGCCAGAACGCTGAAGGCCAGCACTTCTAGGATTACAACAAGTCATCCTATCTGCGTGGCTACAATCTGGTTCAAGACTTTTTCGGCAAAACATATGGTACGCAAGTTCCCATCACGGCTGCAGATTATTGCAAATGTTACTTTATGGTGCCAATCAACTTGAATCTGGATCGTTTCCTGGACAATCCCATATCAAGAGGAAACCTATCCATCGGCTATCAATTCAGTGACATTCCCATACTCCAGTGCTACGTCCTGGTCAGCCTGGCGCTTCGATTAAAGTCAACCTTCTTTGCATGGACAAGTACATGTATACTATGAGCAAGGATGAAGGAATCAAAACCGAAGTTGTTTAAATTATTTCCAACCTATTATAAATACAGGAGACCGACCGGTCATCATGGCGGGAGGAGATCTAAAAACCAGACACCCTGTATACGGTGGTGACTTGTCAACGGTGCCAAGGCATCAGAGTGACATATTCTCAATCTTAGGAAACCTTCAAGGTTTGGGTCCTGAAGAAGTTCAGAAGCGCATGTCTACTCCCGAGAATACGAAGATGCAGTGTGGAGGAATCGGTCCATTAGCAGCCATGGCCGGAATGTCACTCATTCCCATGCTTCTCGGGAAAGGTCAATCCGGTGATGTTGTGGAAGCGCAAATGAAAACTGCTCACAATCCTCCCATGCACCGCGGTAGTTTTGCCATTCCACGTGCACTAGCTGCCAAGGCCATACCACTGCTCACATCACTTGCAACCCCGCTGGCAATGGGTACACTGGCATCTCTGGGCGAAAACGTGGTGGATAACATATTCGGTAGAGGGGTAAAGAAAGCAAATGCAAGAGGCAACATGAAGCGTCATCAGCGTCGTACCCCCAAGGCTCCCCGCCGTGCACCGAAAGCAACTCATTGTGTACCGAACGCAACTTGCCGTGGCCGAGTTCGCAAAACCTCGCAGCATGGCAAATCATCATGTAAAACCTGGCAACATTCGTGGATTGATGAAGAACCGAGGAAGAGCACTTTTGAAAGAATTGGGAAACCGATTGTTGAAGAAAGCTTCATCCAGACTTTCTGCACCTCATGGATCATTGACCCGCTCTGAAACTCCTGTTGCACAAAACTTGTCAGAGTTTTAGTAATGCAGCAACATCTGCCGCAAGTGCAGCAAACATTGGACCATACTTTAACATCTAGTCATGGACTTTGCCAGGATGTTTGGATCCCAAAAGAAACCAAAGTTAGAAGGTGCTTTGATGAGCAAGGACACTTCCATACCATGTGCAACACAGCAACAAGATGCGAAAGTACCTTCAGTTTTCAGTAGGTCTTCAGTTCGAGACTAAGGACTGGTTTACGGAAATTCTTCCGGCGTTAAAGTCCTGGGGACAAAACGTTTTGTTCCTGGGACA